ATAAAACAGTAAAAAGTATAATGATGATAATGATAATAACAATGATAATTATGGTAATTTTGTTATTATTTCTATTACAGTCATTAGTATTACTTCTACTATTATGCTTATTACTCTAATTATCATCATTATTATCATTATTATTATCATTAGTATTACTTCTACTATTATGCTTATTACTATCATTATCATCATTATTATCTTTGTTATCATTATCATTAGTAATACTAATTTTTCTTAATGTTATTATTGTAATAGATATTGTCATGATTATTATTATTATTACTATTATTCAATCATTATCATCATTGTCATTATCATTAGTTTAATTATTATCATCATCATTTTCACTTCTATTATAGTTATAATTCTTATTATCATCACCATCATCATCATTATCGTTGTTATGTCATAATAACAATAATAATTATATTTATTATTATCATGATTATCATTGTTATAATAGTATCATCACTATTATTTCTTATTACTATTTTATGTATGTGTGTGTGTGTGGTGTGTGTTGTGTGTGTGTGTGTGTGTGTGTGTGTGTGTGTGTGTGTGTGTGTGTGTTGTGTGTGTGTGTGTGTGTGTGTGTGTGTGTGTGTGCGTGCGTGCGTGTGTGTGCATGCGTGTGCGAGCGTGCATGTAAAACACCTGAACCCATCGGCTGCAATGCACGAGGTTACACTACTTTCGAAGTCGACGTGAGCTGATCTTACCCGCTGGGGTATGCTCAGTTGCGTGGACGGGACTTCATTAGCATTTGTGGATGTTTATGTTATTAAGAGAAATGTCATGTTTCCCCATATTAGGACCTTAGTCGTGAACACTTCTTTTTCCCTTTTCTGTATTTTCTATTTTATTTTTTGGCGAGTGGTCATTCATTCGTATCAAAATTTACTCTCATGGATGCTATTTATCTATTCATTTAATATTTTCTGTCGCGTCAACATCTAAGGGTACGAGCGACGTATTCAAAATATGGGGATAGATGAGGCTTGTAGGTGTAGTCCCCGGGTAAGGAAGTTGTGTGGTTCATAGGGCAACGTTTATGGATTCCCAGAATGGTTAATGATCAAAACAAATAAATGTGCCAGCCATCGATGGTTATATAGCACTACGATATAGTATTGTGGCGAAAATTTTTGAATGAGTCAACGATTAAGACAAAATATGTGTATGTCGTAGGTTGTAGGGCGCTGTAAGTTAGTAACTTTAGGATGTGGAGGGAAGGGGATGAAGAAAGGAAAAGGAGAGGTGATCCGGTAAAAAGGGTAAAGAGGGAATTACAAACGGAGTACGAAAGCCGTTCAGGACTGACGCAATGCCAGCCTTTCATCCTTTCAGTACGGCTCTAACACTTTAGGATGTGGAGGGAAGGGGATGAAGAAAGGAAAAGGAGAGAGGTGATCCCCTACATTGGGTCTCCGTCTCCCCCACGACAACAAGCAAAGAATTGGGGGGGGCCATTAGTAATTGCTTGGATGAACTCCTGGTCTAAGGAAGACTTTTTAAGAGTAAAATACTGTAACTTTTCCCAACTGCATTTCCATTCAAGACTGACAGACACTGTAGTGTCTTGTTTCGGTAATGTTCAAAAGTAGTTTCATTATTGTCGGTACTTATAGGGCTCATCACTTACACTGCGTTATATTCTATGCTGGATTCTGAGGAGCCTGTGACTCCTTATACATTTAGAATGATTTACTTTTAAATTACTTGTTGACTTCCTCTCCTGTTAAGATCTTTGCCTTCATGTTTATTGAATTGCATTGCATGAAGAGGGTAGCTGTTTCGACGTTTATTTCTCCATTGGTTAATAAGCTGAAGTAAAAGTATGTGAGTACGTTTTCTGGAATTCCTCTTCAGGCACACAACTATAATCAGCAGCCAATTGTAAAGTTGACATCAAAGATGAAAAACATGGGAGAAACTACTTATTTACTAAGTAATATGCTCGGTGTATGACATTTCTACTCATTTCCATCCTTGTGTCCAAGGTATATACAAACTTATATAGACCTTGTTTGTGCCAACATCTTTGTACACTTGTGCTGCGAATACTGCGATCTTGTTAAAGGGTTTACATCAAGGAGAAGGGATGTTTTCTTTTAACCCCAAAAAAACTTTCTTCTCAACTGACTGAACGCATGACAAGTAGACTATGGGCTACACTATATAAAAATCTGTGTCACTAGTCATCTTGGTTATTAATTTTAATTTTAATCTTTTACATGAACATTACCTTTCATTTTTTGTTTCCATAATGGGTCTATGAATAAAATTTCTTGCACTTTAGGGGAAAAGGAAGCAATATAGCTTTATAGGTCCAACATTTATTCAACATTCCCTTATAAAAAGAGATGACCATCCTTGCTATCAAAATCTCTTTCACTGCACATTCATCAATTTCTTAACCTAGTAGGCATATATCTACTAAATAAATTCATCTGCAGGCATGGTTCCTTCAGCCTGGTAACACAACACTTTCAATCAA